AAAAAAAAAAAAAAGAAGAAGAAGGGGGGCGGATTTACCATTAACACATATACCAGAACAGCGGTATAAACATTTTGTGCAAAGTCCCTATGTATAAACTCAATATTGGAACAAAAATCATGATGTCTTATTTCAATACATATTAATCGTAGAAAAAAAAAACAACAGGGGTGGAAATGATAATAGGTGGTATCTATGTCTCATTCTATGATTGTTAGAAGGGAGATAACTCGAAAGATTTTAGGGATTTGTAAAATCAATAGAGATATAAATTGCGTTACCAAAGTATATAAAATATCCAATATATAACACAACCTAAATCGTAACTTCCTGAAGCAACAATCAGGAGGGAGTGTCAGATGAAGAAGATAAATTTATTTCTAACTCATAAAAACACTAAATGAACTGTCACCAATGACATGACTGGGAGAACATATATATACTCTGTATAAGAGTGATCTCCCTTCACATGTAAAAGTGTGGTACATAGTAAACATTTGTCAACATAAAAAGGTGGCGGTATTTGAATGGGGATTTTGACTTTTATTAATATACTATACGAAAATGAACGACTATGATACTTATTCAAAATGTTGTTTTCTATCAAAACTTGTCATTAATGATTTGTTTTAATATGGTACATTCATATGTACCTGTGTGATAAATTTAGTCGTTTTTTTTTTAGATTTTTTTTCGTTGTGTAAGTAATGTATAACTTGACCTATCACGGGACCGTATCACACGTGAAGCGTGATCACGTCGTGTTGGAGATCGCGAAATAAATTCCATAATAAAACAAATCCTCACATTTTAAGGTCTACAGGGCAAATAAATGAATAAACAGAATTTGAAGAAAAAAATTATGGAGATAATGATACTAGGGGTGCGTGGAATATTTGTGATAGTTATCAATTTTATTGCTATTTTATAATACAGGTTGAAAGAACGCAATATCTATTAATGTGGTTTTAGAAATCTTTAATGTTAATGTCTTCCAATATTTATCGGTCTTGAAGATTGGTAATTGACAAATACAAAACTAGTATTAATGATAACGAATACATCTGTATGATGATTAACTTGTGCAGGGTGTATTTTTATTATTATCATTCGGCGACTAACTTTAAATATGCTCGAATACAATGAAATCAAATAATATTTTACGAGTATCAAAATTATTTCACATTCTGATGATCGTAATACTGGAGAACTCGGGAACATAGACTAAAGTATAGGATGTATGGAGAGTCTCCTGTGTCATCAAACAAGTCTTCTTCCTCTTATAAACAGGGAAGTGAACGGTGTTTGTAGACAAATGTTACAGACAGCCTTGTTGCGGACGCTATCAAATATTCACCTTCCAAGTAATGAAAGGAATTCCACGAAATTTTGAGCCCTTAGCGAATTGCACTCATAGATGAACATTTTCGATAATCGATAATACTTAAATCGCCAGGTTTCCGAATCCGAATTATTCTTTACGTAGTTTCAACATTGTATATCAGTTTGGATTCGATGAAAGTCTTAATTCCTGTTAAATTTTCTCGCTAAATCCAACGGCTTGAACTTCTGAATCGGCATTACCACACATACTGTTAATTGAATTGCCATAGAGTGGGTGGGGATTGGGGGGGGGGGGGGCAATTTATATAATGGTTTTGAGATATCGCTTGCAAAACGGTGAAGTCATCCGCAGTCTCTTTCTATCCTTAACTCAAACATTACAGCGCGCATGTCTGTTATTGTCAAACCATCGTAAACATCGTGTTTAAATCGAATAGAAAGATTAATTCAAAGTCTAAAAAGAATAACTAGAACTTGCGTGTGTGTTCATTGTTTGGCTAGCTAGCATTGAATCCTATATCAGTATCAAGAAAGTATTATTTCTAGGACGAACTTGTAAAATGGATTGTAAAATGTAAGTACACAGGATATTTATCACTAGGTTTTTTTTCCTTGATTTGAACATTGAAAAACAACAGGGATTTTTACCCGATATTATATGTATCTTAAGAAAATACTCATTATATGATACTTTTGTTGACTGTTTGAAATTAAGGTCATTTCCAGGATCACAATGGAAAAAAACTTGTTTATGAAAATGTATATAGTGCAGAAGAAAATGCATGGTTAGAGCGTGTGTCATATGATGACGATAATTTTCAGATTTTAAGTTTATCCATCTTAAACTTCAGACACATGACTTATGGAAAATTACCAGTAAAATGTCCTCAATGTTATATATATTGTATTTAAAAGTATGTGTAACCTCTCGCATGTTGAACCATGAAGAATTGTATCGACTTGGGGAAGTCCAAACACCTTATGGCTAGCGTAAAGTGTGCGGTTTTTCAGCTTCTTACTCGCACAAACGCTTTAAAAGCATCTGAGTGACCCGGTTTTTGTTTTTGTTTTTTTTTCAGCTAAAGCCCTGTTCATTAAACGGTCAGAACGATTCCTTCAAACATGCATCTATGTACTTAAAGCATATGGCCTAACTGATGACGGTGACTATTGAAAATACAGATTTTGCATTTTATTGTAATTGTCCATTATATTCAACAACAAACCATTAGGCATGTCCACATTTTATAAACCCGGGTTTAACAGACAAAATCAAATGGCATTTAACATGAGGCTACGTATACTGTACCCAAAATGGAACGCTACTCAATATTTTATCTTGCAATACGGAGGTCCATAACGTTGTCCGACATTAAAGGCCTACATTAAAGGTTAACTGCAGTTTGCTCTTGTTGTGGGAGTAACTAACATGTTTAAGTGAGGATTGGATTTTGTGTCCGAGTGTCCCTCACGTTACACCCGAGGCATCTCTGCTTACGCTTTCATTGAATATGGTGTTAAGTAATCACTTCTTACGGTGTTAGGTAACATTTCCCAGAGACGATTTGGTGTAACGTCGCCCAGTGCTGTGTAAGATAACACTTCTCGGTGACGATTTGGTGTAACGTCGTCCTGTGCGGTGTAAAATAACACCTCTCGGTGACGATTTGGTGTAACGTCGCCCAGTGCGGTGTAAGATAACACTTCTCGGTGACGATTTGGTGTAACGTCGTCCTGTGCGGTGTAAAATAACACCTCTCGGTGACGATTTGGTGTAACGTCGTCCTGTGCGGTGTAAGATAACACTTCTCGGTGGCGATTTGGTGTGACGTCGTCCTGTGCGGTGTAAAATAACACCTCTCGGTGACGATTTGGTGTAACGTCGTCCAGTGCGGTGTAAGATAACACTTCTCGGTAACGATTTGGTGTAACGTCGTCCTGTGCGGTGTAAGAAAACACTTCTCGGTGACGATTTGATGTAACGTCGCCCAGTGCTGTGTAAGATAACACTTCTCGGTGACGATTTGGTGTAACGTCGTCCTGTGCGGTGTAAGATAACACTTCTCGGTGACGATTTGGTGTAACGTCGTCCCGTGCGGTGTAAGATAACACCTCTCGGTGACGATTTGGTGTAACGTTGCCCCGTGCGGTGTAAGATAACACTTCTCGGTGACGATTTGGTGTAACGTCGTCCTGTGCGGTGTAAGATAACACTTCTCGGTGACGATTTGGTGTAACGTCGTCCCGTGCGGTGTAAGATAACACCTCTCGGTGACGATTTGGTGTAACGTTGCCCCGTGCGGTGTAAGATAACACTTCTCGGTGACGATTTGGTGTAACGTCGCTCCACACGGTGTAAGATGACAGGTTTTAGTACTGATTTGGTGTAAACGTCATTCCCTTGCTGAGTAAAGTAACACGTTTAAGTGAAGATTTAGTGTAATGCCACACCCGTGCGGTGGAAGGTAACATTAAAGGTATCGATTTGGTGTAAAGTAATTCCATCACAGTTTAAGTTAACACTTTTAGGTGAGATTCCGGTGTAAAGTCACTCTCTTACGGTGTAAAGTAACACTTTTAGGTGAGAATCTGGTGTAAAGTCACTCTCTTACTGTGTAAAGTAACACGTTTAGGTGAGATTCTGGTGTAAAGTCACCCCTTATGGTGAAAAGTAACACTTTTAGGTGAGATTCTTTTGTAAAGTCACCCCCTTACGGTGTAAGATAACGCATTTACACCGATTTAGGATTGAAGTAACACATATCTTAATTATGTTTAATGAGCTTTCCAAAGTAAGGGACTTCCATGGCGTACTATAGTAAGAGAAAACAATGGCGACCATGATGGTGATTAAGACTTATACAGTTACAACTTACCTCTGACACTTTTCTTAAAATATCATGTTTGTCTCGTTAGCTTTCATATCAATTACATTCTGCTTGCATTAACGTTTGATTTTTGACGCCTCAATTTCTTAACTTTAATCATTCATAACTTCCAGTTGCTTTAAATTTCCCCCATATGTTTTTATTTAAATGTCTGGTTTGTCCCGATTCTAAGTATTTGTTCAGGCTCCATTTTATTTCGCCATAAAGCCTTGATTATGGTTTGCCTGTTTTATTTCTTTTTATTGGCTTTTTTTATTTCTCAGATTATTAGCAGTGTACGTTCTCCCATTCTCGACTGTATTTCAAATCTATCTCGTGTTCTTTTGTTTAAATTTTTACCAGTCATGTTGGCCCCAATTCCAAAAGTTGAACGGTTAGTTCAATTTGATTTTATTTTCGTCAGTTTTTGTTGCCTTGGTTTTAAGGTCTCCTGTTACTACGTCTCTCACTTACATTTTATTTACACAATCTCTCATATTTTCTTTCTATTTCTGTCCTAACTATGAGCTTAAACCTTGCTGTGACGTGTTGACGTTTTGGTGTGTTTTCGATATTTACACCTGGTTGGGTTAAGCTTATCCATATTTGGTACATGAATATTTTCATACTATGAAAAAAAGTCTTGACAACTCACCAACAAGCCAAGCAGACAACCAATCAAACAAATAAGAAAAAACATAAAACAAATTCAAAATCATTTTATGATTACAAACTTTTTTTATTATCATTACAATGTTATATACAAGAAATTATATATTTCCAGACAATTCTTTGAATTTAAATTGATAACAATTTAAAATCATATTAGCACTATTTTACAGTCGTTACCGAAATGTATATCCTTTGGCGAGAACACTTACATGTGAGCATTGCTAAATTTTATTGGTAGGTCAACCTTATTTCAGTAAATTTCTTACTGATGTCGTACATCACAGAGCCAAATAATCCACAACGCCGATGTGTTCGGTGAATTTCGTCCGAAGAGGCGTTCTGTAGAATAACAAGGAAGTACTACCCAACCTGCTTGGTGTATGATTGAGGAATGCCGAGGGACGAATTATGATTAAACTAGGGAAATGATATAAATACTACAGCAAGATAGTATCGAGTCTATACCAAAGCTATATATTGATGTATCTACTGATTCAGTAAACTTTTCCATGTTTTATCAAATTTCTTAAAAAGATCGAGAAATATTGTTTTATAATATGGATTGATAAAACACATAGAACGCTCTCATATTGTCCAGTTAAGACAATCAAATTGACTTTTATTTTTACAGATCCATGGATATCTCGATATCGTTTTCGTGTTAAAGAAGTCGTACTGGTATCACCAGTCTAGGATGAAATCGATAGGATAGTGGTCGACTTAAATGTACAAGACTGATGAATGAGAAAGTTGATGAAAATGAACTACATGTTTGTGCCTTTGTCTTGGAAAGTTTATAAGCCTCGCCGAAATCATTGTCACAAGTGGATTAAAATCTTGTCCATGATTTCACGAAAGATAATCCATGTTATCCAGCATTAACAATTGCATCAGAGTCGGAAATGCACGTCTACCTTGTCCGAGTGACCCTCGGGCCCGGTTGCCTTGCATCAAAAAATACCAGGCAGCTGAAATGACAGAAACATACACAGTTTTAACATTCCATACATTACTCTCTTGCTATGACTTTTTGATCAAACGAAAGTGTTGCTTTAAGAAACACTGTCAAGAAAATGACATCGGTATCTAAAGAAAACCAGCAATTCAGAGGAGTAAAGTTCTGGGGAAAAAAAATTAACACACAAAAAACGAGAAAAAAACAAGGAGATACGCCAGGCATTCTGTTTCATCGACGTTTTCGACTCATTTAAATAAGATCGTTGTTGTTGATAATGTATTACAGTTTGGTAAGTGATTCGAGAAAGACAATGACTGTTTTATATATTTGTCATCAAACCGTATTTTTACGTCGTTTACTGTCTTCGCATCGGCGTCACCTATGGACGGGATATATAGTTATGAATGTAAGCAGAAGACGCTTACTCTTCCAGAACACCTGGTCTTATTCTCCTTTTTTCAAGAGTTTCCGTGGTAATCTTTCTTTTGTTCAAATTTTGCCCTAATTATATTGAGTGTATATTTGGATTATGTTGATATCTTTTATCAGTTTTTAATACAGTATGGCTTTCCTGTATTCTTAACATCTTATCTAGAGAATCACATTTACATTAATTTCTGTAGAATGCTAATTCCATCAACATGTCAACCCTACTCGTCTCGCATTACAAGTAAATGCACGTGTGTTTCAGATATATACGTTTATCAAGTAGTAAATATAATACAATACCAATGGAAAAATAGTACAAACGTCATAAATGAAGTCGTGAGATTTTTTTTTATTTATTTAGTAATTTATCTATTTATTTATTTATTTACCTCCTTCATTTAAGCATTCATGTTTACCAATTTCAAATCAATATCTCAGACAGCGAAAGAAGATTTTTTTGGTAAACTAAAATTAATTCCAATACTAGTTAACATGAAAAAATTAAGCGTAACTATTGACAAATTGACACGTGATTGCTTTGAGAAGAAATCGTAAGACTAATTTTTTTTTATATGTAGTAATTAAGTATACATGTTTACACAACATTGTGTTGTTTATGGCTACGTTTCCATGTTGAATGAACAATGAGTATATATATATCTATTGTTATCATCCCCCTTGATGAGTCAAATGTTGACCAATAAGTGTAAACATCATGATGGACGGTGAAATCAGGTGCCTAACGTTTTTGTTCCAAACTACTTAAAGTGACAGGTTTATGGCAACTGATGCGTCATCACTCAATACCACTGGCGTCCTGTGTCCGAGGTATTCACCTACAGGTACGTTTTGTAAACAATGACACACAGCACTGGACACGAACGTCCCTAGTACATTGTTAGAATGGTTCTATTAAATATATTGGTACGAGAGGAAAAGACTTTGGATTAAGGTAGAATAAAAATAACCATTGGGTTTCATTTGATTGGTTTTCCACCTGGACAAGTGTTCATGGCGTTACCTTACCGAAATGGTATACATGTACTCATAAATACAAGTCAACAGTGTGCTTTTTCATTTCAAAAAGAAGATGATGGGGTTCTTAGATATTAATCTATTTATTCCAGTATTGAAATGTTAAAATCTCGTTTGCCGCGATATCTCAACCCAAGTCTTCTCGGCATGAACCTCTTTGGATTGAAGGTTTGAAAACAATGTTTTCTTACTGTGTCTAGAAGAGTTTGAATGACGGGGATGTTGATCTCGCCTATAGTGTGAATCCAGTCATGTAGAGTGTCTATATACATAAAGGCCTCCAGGTGACTACATTTGTACAATTTATGCAGTAAACAGAAAAAGCTTGAACAAAGTTAGCCCTACATGTTGTTTACTTTCACAAGGTTGGCAGCGTGAGTTATCAATCTTATAACAGTAATTAGCATTCCATTAAGCTGATTAATATTTATTTCATTAAAACGACGCTCTTCACAACCTTTGGTCCTAACTTCTATTTTTTTTTTTTTTTTAATGAATACTTCAGATTAGCGTAAATTGTTTTGTCGGCCCCTTCTTTTTGTTTCCATAGCCTGGTGCAAAATGAACATCTTAAATTTTCCTTATAAGATCTCTGCTCTCTGCTAGATTTGATAATGCTATGCAATAGTAATGCTTAAAAATATGGGATTTACATTAATAATCTATCTTATATCCCTACGCCTCTTTCTTATATGTGCTGTAGTAACCTGTGTTTAATTGCGGATTTATGGGATGTTTACTACAGTATTGTTATATCAACACACGATGGTGAATACTCTCTGGCAAATTGGACACTTATATGGTCAAATTATTGGAATGAGATGTCACACATAACGTAAACCATATTTGCCAACCACAGTATGAAACATCGCACTGGTCATTGACTCAAATAGTGATCAAGTAAGGAAAATTTCACATCAAGGACAACAACAACAGCATGATCTGTCACAGTTCAGTGAATTTACGTTTCGCAAGGTTAAGTAAGCTTCATACACTGGTGACTACGTTGATATTTATACCTGTAGCAAACACCTGTAATATCGATTTATTATGAGAAATTATGATGAGAATTATTTGTTTTGTCGTTTTGTGTTATGATTATCGAGTCAATTCATAATTATACCAGCTCTGTTGTTGTTGCTACGTATACACTCTGTGTAATCGTTATAGTTAGAATTTTGAAAAATCGTCCATATTCACTATCTTTAATGGTTTGGCAACAAAAGATTTAATGTGATGTAACCACGAACAAACCCCAGAAACAATCGGCTAAAATCAGCGTGATTATTTTCATTGGCATAATATTCTATGAGAACTGGTTTGTGTCAAGTGTCATATATTCGAAGATGCTTTGAGGAATTATAATGACGGATTATAATATTTGTAATGGTGCTGCACATTTGCTTGATAATTCTATCTAAATTACGAGTGACGTATCGGGAACGAACCCAATGGTCAATGGTTTTATTAACTACACTTAAATGGGTATTACGGGGAAAATTCTATTAATGACTGTACGTGTTTTTGGTGCTTCCGGGAACGTTTCTATGCCAGTCTCATATTCAAAGCAACAGTAGTGACACAGTCAATAAAATCCTGTTTTTTAGCAGCAAATGTTATTTATGGTACCTCTAAGGCAATTCAGGATTACGAATTAAATATTTATCGCAAACATTGTAGTGACCGATTCAGGCAGGTAGCCATTTTTGTTTAAAGACGACAGTGTTTGTGTGCACGAGTTATAGTATATGACGCAAAAATTTACATATCCAAACTGTCGATCAACAGATCAGATTTCTTTCTTTAATTATTAATCAACTTTTTATGTGCATATTTCAGCGAAAACCACCTATCATTATTCATAAGGAGATACACTTGATATATACATGTATATGCAATAGTTTTAAAAAATCAGTAACAAAATCGGTTTAACGCCGTTTTAATACAGTTGGTAACTGTTTCTTACCATGAGCTCTTTTTGAAAGTGTCAACATAAAGTAAGGCAAAGCATATGTTTTGTAATTTAGAAAAGTAGGTGATGAAAGTCACAGACAAACTAATTTTTTTTATCAAAGTCATTTTAACATAAAGGTACAAACATTTTGTACCTAATGCGTGTGACAAAATTGTCTTGTAGAACGTCTTAGAAATACGTCACAGTTGTTGATAGATTACCAGATATGTTCAACTTAGGGTTAGGATCCGAGATGTGTGTGTGGATGGGAGGAGGGGGTGTAATTAGACATGCGTTATCGCACCAAGAAACTTATATTCAGCCATACGAAATATTTTGATGGAGACACACTTACCGAGGTTGTCTGACTGTGCCATAGTTACCGCAAGGAACGAGAAAGCCAAGAACACCACAATCAAAACCTTCAGTGCCGACATCTTTTCTGAACTGAAACAAAATGACAAAAGGAAAAGTTACAAGAATCTCATTGATAACTAGGCATGTGTTAAAAATTGTTTTTAAGTTTTGAAAATGAAAATTGAAATGTGCTATTCACGATTCTGTCTTTCATATTACGTTTTAACAATATCAAACATTCTCCAATAGAATTCCCCGGGGAAACTTAAGGATACAAATACCACATGAATGGCCATTAAAGTTTATTTTGGGGCATAGAGTAACAAAATAGTGGGAAAAACATCATTCATGAAAGACAAATAACAAACGGTAAAAACACAATTTGCATAATTTTCTTTGCAGAAGGCCTTGGTATAGATATTACTTGTTGTTATTGGCGAGAATAGACCCAAAACATAAATCTGTAATATCTAGCGGTATACATTAGTATCACTTATGGTATAGACTTTTAACGTTATCATTGGTAAGACTAAGTCCAAAACTTAAGTCAAATTACCATAACTAATGACATAGATTTCATGTTATTTGTTTATTTTATTTTTTTGCGCCATTGACATATTTCGATGACAATGACCTAAAGATTGTGCACATAATAGAACTTTAAATAGATTTTTTAAAAAATTTAGATGGAGAATAACCAAAATTTTAATTTTAAACTGCATTCCATATTAGACATTAAGATTCGAGTAGCTTCATTTGCAAAGCAATTGGACATGTTAATTGGCAAAGAATATCCGTTAAAACTAACTAATGATAGAACTTATGGAGTTCGTTTAGTAGTTCATCGGAGGTGTCACAAGTATGATGAGATTTTCTCCATACAAGAGATATGCAGATAAGAAAAATATGTTATAGATGTGATTCATTTAGATAAAAAAAGTTTAAAAAAATATTTAAGCTTCTCTGATTTTTTTAATCGATATTTTGAAATCGTTAAATTTAACATTTAGGTAAATTGAAATATAAACACGACCCTTGAATCCGTGAATTAAGTATTAAATATGACGTTTGTATAAAAAGAACAAGAAATTACCAACATGTCATCATAATCCAAGCTATTACTGTTTCCATGGTAAAAAGATTTTTACATGCTCAAAATAAAATATGAGGCAATCGTCAGATGAATGAATTCAAAAGATACAAAGTATTAACATAATTACACAACAATGATGGCGGACAACACGGAAATACTTACAGAGAAGAAAACTTGAAAAGTTTGAAGAAGTTGTCCACGAAATCTCGTATTGAGCGATCAGTTATCAGATGCTGGGGAAAGATTCAGCTGGCGTGTGGCGAGTCGCTTATATACCTATCAGTAGGAACAAAAGGGACTCATTTGCATATACCATCGGTGTGACATATTGCTGGCCAGCTCTTCACCTGTGGCCTTACAGCTTAGGTCAATTTCGAGATGACCTTGTTTGTTTGTCGTTAGGAAACTTAATCATGGTGACAATAGCCGATTGTGTGTAACACACGATTTTCTCGTGATTGTTTTTATAACTATGGAAACACACTCCACCGCAAACCACTGAATCCCGTGAGAAATTTGCCGTACTTGGAATATTGCCAATGTACAACAAAATTTAAAGGTATTCTGAATTCCTTGCATTTCAAGAATATGCACTCCTTTTTTGGGGTAGCTGGAAAAATGCAATTTGTCAATGTGACGTGACATTTCTTGCTCTAACAACAACGGTATTTTATAGTGTAAATGGTTGTTAATATACAAGCCGCGCATTCAAGTGTCCGTAAATTTACATCAGCTACAAAGGAAATGACCGGCGTATCACCTCTCTTGTCATCATTTTCGGACGGAATGTTCATATGAAAGAATTTGAAACGTCATTTATGATGACTAATTTGATATATAAAGAAAAGTTGACCCTGACCTTCAATATTTGCATGGCTAATTGGATCATACATCAAAAAGTTCTATATAGGCAGTTGAAAGAATAAAGAACTCATCTTTTTCTATATTTCTTTTCAAAGTCGAAGGAAGTTATTTGTTCTAAAGTCAACTTTAAACATAGCGGTAGATGCAATTTATGAAAGGTTATGATGATTTTAGAGAAAATGTCAGCGTTATGATTTGGTATTAAAACTATCTTTTACATCGATTATCTGCACTTATACATAGTACCATAAATATAAACTGTAAACAAGAAAGCAAATTAAACTTGATTTCGATGAAACGAGAAGAAAATATTACGTAGTTACATCTGACCCCAATCAAGATGATGTTACGTTATCAAAGTAAGAAACAGTGTAGTCACAATTACACAAAAGGAAAAAAAATGAAAATGTCAGAATTCTTATCAAACAAGAGGATACCATGATCAAGGTAAAGGTAGTAAAATGAATACAAGAATTTGAAAAAAATGAATTCATAATTTAGAAAAATGAACCGATAATTAGTCAAATTAAATCATAGTTTTCAGTATTGTATGCTGTAATATCGACAATAAATCACTCAAAAAGACTGTCATAATTTTCACAAACACAATAATAAAAAAGTACGGTAAAAGTCTCTCCTGGTGGCTACTAACTAGACTTTTAAAAAAGACCACTAGTGTCTATACTAAATATAGAACAATAAAGATAATGCCTGATCATGATTCTATAGTGTATTCACCCATCGACACAAGTAATTAATTTCACTAACCTTATGTGGTCCGCGTTGCAGTCATACACTTTAAAGCGGATGAAAGGGACACGACCTATCAGGGTTATATATACATCTTTTATTCTTTATTTTTATTAATTCTCCATAGTGAAGATCTCACTGGGAAACATTACATTCCCTTATCATTTGTTACATCCATTTCCATGATTAACATATATCCTGAAACGATTCTAAGGACGAAACAGCTGTATGATGCAGTTTAATTCATTGTTTGGTTCAAGTGTATCTAACTCTTAACTATGAAAAGGTGTGTCTTTTGTACCATCTTATGCATGATGTATTTTACAAACAATGTTTAAGTGTGTTAAAGTACATTTGATGCTCTTAAGTCTTTGATCGCTTAACATCCTCTATCTGTAGCTGTTCCAAAGCTCGGTGATAGGATTTACTAGAGGCAGAAATATTGAAATTCATAAATAGTTCTGCCAAATAACGGCTATGTGAGTGAATTATCATCAGAGGAATGTACTATATTGTAACAGAGATGGCGTGTTACATTAAAAATTAACATGGTTTGGCGTCTGGAATTTGAAAATTGCAGATGACACGAGAAAAATCGGGGGGGGGGGGGGGGGGGGGGGGGGGGGGGGGAGGTGGGGGGGGTTGTCTGTCATTACGTTTTATATACTGAGGATATTTTTCCAAAAGAAGCAAACGCGTGTACAAATACACAGTTATATACTGAGGATGAGGCATAAAAATATTCGATCGACAATATCTTCGTCACGTTTTATTGCAAGATCTTCCAACAAAATTTTCGCATAAATATGGGAACTCACCTGCCCGTATCCCTTTCTTTAATTTATTAAAGTGCTTACTAAAATTAGAATAAAATTCCTGCACTTTTACATATATTGATATTACAAAAGGTATTGAACATATCTTATGGATATACTCTCCAGACCTTTAAATTATGGAAACATCAGACTCCGAAACAACAGATCTTTATCTCCATTACAACTAGTTATCATTAGGCTAAACGCGATGATTTAATTAAAATTTTTGTTGTGTGATGATATTTCTTTAACGATTCTTGTTTTCATGACTGGTGGTTTTGTCTGAACCTTGAGGTGGCAAATGTGTTATTATAACAGTTATTCCAGGAGCAAATGATATTTATGACAACCTTCCAATAGTCTTGATCACCCTGCGTCTCTCTAAGAAGGGAGAAGGGTCATTACTTTTAATTCGTCAAAGAAACATCAAACTTATCACGATTTTCATACAGCGAGATGGAATAATATCTCTGATGGTTTTGTTGTAGGAAGTAATAGCCGATGTAAAAGAATGCGTCGTGTCCTTACATTCTGATTAATATATATTAATACGATCGACATGGTCTTATATAAAAACGACATTAACTGGAAGATAGTACTTAACCAATAGTTGATCGTGCAATAAGATAATAGAATTCCTTTCAACAAAACTTCTAATATAAGAGAATTATAATTTGAATAGCGATGAACGCAAATGTCGAAGAAACTAGTTTGGTATCTAAAATGAAATTGGTTTCTTCAAAAGTCTTGGAAATTGCCAGAAAATTAAGACAATGTAAAGAAGAAGCGTCTTTAACTTGGTCTTTTCTGAGTAGTGTCATGCATGTTTAAAACAGAACGCAACCGTTACAGCTTGTATGATATTTTTTTCTTTTTTTTTTTACAATTGCCTACAGCTGTAAGAGTCACATAGTGCCATGTTACTTTATCTATACTGTAATGACAGCATAACATATGTTATAACACTTAGAGATGACCGACCGAACAGTCAACCAAATACGATCAAACAGACTTCACTGGTATACCGTGTAAAGTGTTTCAGGCTTAATTTTCTTGTAGCACCTCACTCTGTGAATGATGAACATGACATAGAGTAGTAGTTACTGTCCCTTTGGTAAATCGAACAATCTATCACATGTAGGCAGATCAGGTAGGTCACCATTTACTATATTTTTATGGTGTGTCAGAAAAAAATAAACTATAAATGACCAGTTCTTTTTTACATAAACATCATCGCTGCAAATATTGGAACATTTATTTGTTTTTAGTACAAATTCTCTTTCTATTTTATTCAAAGTATACTTGTTAAAGATAGCGTCAAACTTTATCTATGCCAAAAAGGCTTAGGGAATCTTATGATTGTGGATTAGAACAATAGATCTACTTACATTTCTTGCTAACCGAAGGGTTGACCAAAAGCTAATGGTAATCTATAAAACTATAAAATGTGTCGTTGCACTTTCGCTGAAAAGAAGTTTTTTGCATAACAACAAAAAATATTTTAAAAGTTACGACGAGACTATATTCCATTGTTTGAAAAACATTTTATGCATGTATGCATTTATTGGATACCCATTCATCACAGCAGCACAGCATGTGTATAGTGTTGAAATATAGACGTGGTATTTGATTTCGCTCTATGTTGAATAACCCCGAAGATAGCCAGAATATAACATTTCTTCGAATATTTTTAACGGTACAGTATAAACAGATTTCTTTTTTGTGTTAGTTTGTTGAGGGTTGGTGTTGCACTGATGGTTACATGCTATAAATATTGATTCGCCAATGAATACATATTACTAGGTACTAGGATTTTCATAACAAACTGATGATTGAGGAAGGCTGTAATGCTATCTGCTGCACGGAGTGCAAAAAATTAATAATGTAATTATCAGAAATTCAAAATATGCCATGCAGATGACGAGTCCTAGAGGGACGAAAACGCGGTATGGTCATTTTAACTCGTTGTTTGGAATAATGTTCTCTAAGTTTGTATTAAAAAGCGTTATTCACTTGTGTGGGCTCAATCTGCAAATATAGAGGAGGTCATATGAGTGTCGATTTGAAATGAAATTAATTAACGAGTGACAAATGAGCACATTAGGTCAACATAAGTGTATAATTTCAGTTATCGTATTTATGAAAAAAATATTTGTAATGTAATTTGCCTTTGAGACAGGCCTATTCCGACCTGTGTATACAGAAGGATATATTACCTACATTGCATGACCTTGACCGGTAAATACTTTGGAATCTAAACAAACCACTCTATATCGGGTCACCTACTATCATAAATAAATATATGACATTTTCTTGATTGCGAACATTTGGTATGTAGCAGTTTTATATAAAGATGTCATAACCGTCACATTTCCGCCTGTCTACAGAGATGGCATATTATGACTGACAATGGCCTATTGGTTCTAGATCTCTGTTTAGGTTATTGTACTGTAGAGCATCGGATTTATGATAACCAATGTCTTATATACAGACATATAGGACATGGAGGAGCAGGTGGTCTTAAGTTTCACATTACATTTTGTATAGAGCGTCATATTTTATTGCAAGGAAGTTTTTTTTTCTCGTTCCCTCGAAGATTGTATATGGTGTAGACAAAAAGTGAAAAGAAAATGTCAATATGTCAACATAACCATAATCCAAACGCCTCAACTACTACAAAACTATGATAAATTATGAACAAAATAAAGATTTACACGGCTAATTTCCTAGTACTTATAACAGATAATGTTCAGTAATATATACTGATGATAGGAAATATTTTACTTTACTTGTCACCAATGAACATTATATTCATTTAGAGTAAAAGAGTTGAGATATTAAAGGAAA